ACATGGCTCAAGAACAACTCAGAGCCCCAGAGCCAATAAATCTAAGCAATGAAGAAATAGCCAAACTTTCAGATGCACAGTTCAAAACACTGGTGATCAGAATGCTCACAGAACTGGTTGATTTTAGTCACAAATTAGAGGAACATATGAAGGCTAAACTAATTGAAATGAAGGGAAATACACAGGAAACCAAGAGTAATGGAAAGGAAACTGGGACTCAAATCAGGGGAGTGGACCGGAAGGAGGAAAAAAATGACCAAACAGAAAAGGATGAAGAAACAAGAATTCAAAAAAATGAGGAGAGGCTTAGGAACCTCCAGGACATCTTTAAACGCTCCAACATCCGAATTATAGGGGTACCAGAAAGGGAAAAGGCACAGCCACCAATGAAAAACTTATTTGAACAAATAATAAAAGAAAATTTCCCCAATCTGGCAAAGGAAATAGACTTCCAAGAAATCCAGGAAGCTCAGAGAGTACCAAAAAAGTTGGACTCAAGAAGAAACACACCAAGGCATATCATAATTACATTAGCCAAAATTAAAATGAAGGAGAGAATCCTAGAAGCAGCAAGAGCTAAGGGGACAGTCACCTACAAAGGAGTCCCCATCAGACTGTCAGCAGATTTCTCAAAAGAGACCTTACAGGCAAGAAGGGGCTGGAAAGAAATATTCCAAGTCATGAAATCTAAAGACCTACAACCAAGATTGCTCTATCCAGCAAAACTTTCATTTAGAATGGAAGGACAGATAAGGTGCTTCTCAGATAACATCAAATTCAAGGAGTTCATCATCACCAAGCCCTTATTATATGAAATGTTAAAGGGACTTATCTAAGAAAAAGAAGTTAAAGAAACATGAACAGTGAAAGAACAACAAGCTCACAGTTATTAACAACCACACCTAAAACGAAAGCAAACTAAAAGAACAGCTAGATCAGGAGTGGAAACATAGAAATGAAGATCTCAAGGAGGGTTAGCAACAGGGGAGTGGGAGGAGGAGATGGGGGGAGAAGGTACAGAAAATAAGTAGCATAGACAGTAGATAGAAAATAGATGGGGGGGGGCAAGAATAGCATGGGAAATATAGAACCTAAAGGACTTGAGACACATGGACATAAACTAAAGGGGGGTAATGGTGGGGATGGGGGGGCAGGGTGAAGGGGAATGAAGGGGGGAATAGAACAACTGTAACAGCATAATCAATTTAAAAAATAAATTAAAAAAAAAGATATGTGGAATGAAGAAGGAGTGTTTGATCTGGGCAAGGAGCTTAACATCTGAACACAAGACTCATAGAACAAAAATTATCTCTTGGGTTCCAAAACATCAATTCTGTGTACCCCAAAACATTGCACGAGGGACACATTTTCATGACAACTTATACATATCCAGAATCAAACCTAGCATTACTGTGCATGAAAGTTTAAATACTACAAACTAAACAGTAAGTTGGCAAGGGGCTCTAACTCCTCACTGCTCCATAAAGTGCTACCAACTAATAACCAACAGAATCATGAATGAGGCCAGGGAGAGAAAGTGAGCTCTTCATCTGCCTGTTCTTATTCTCTAGTTGCTTAACAAATTTGGTAAGAGTATCAATAACAGGAAACTGGCACCTATGTCTCCCTTATCTCCTTCATTCCTTCCTAAATACTGTCAATTCAGGAAACACCCACTGGTCACTCAGTAGAAAACGGTATAATCCAATTAACATACCTCTGCCAACTATTTTAAGTCAACAGAATATGGTAATCTCTAGCCCTAAACTTTCAGTTTGGGGCACATGTTCTCAAACAGCAATGGAAGAAGCATTCTTTGAAAGAAAGCTGAGTTAACTAGGAAATAGCTCCAAAATACATGAAAAGTTTGGTGTAGAGTTCACTAGACAGTGAAGAAAACACCAATATACATATATACAGTATGAAACCTCTTTACAATAACTGAGCTCTAGACTATGACCCTAAACTTGTCTTTTAAAAGTAATTTAATCTAAATTTCACTACCTACATTTATTATGCTGTCTGGCAAATATAGTAATAAATCCAAAATCAAGTAACAAGCCAAGAATGCTACCAAAAGAGTTCATTAATGGGTTCAACCAATGACTCAAAAACTTTACAAAATATTTGATTACATTAGTTGTGTAATCATGTCAAATTTTTCAATTACTACAACCATGAAATCAAGTCTAGTTAAACCAGAAAGTATCCTTAACTGTGATTTTCCCCTCTGGAAAGATTAAGATAAAAAAATGAAATACTTTAGAAGATCATTTTAAAATTATTGTAGATTTAGCAGCAACAAAAAAAATAATGATCTTTCTAAACCACGGCTATGGAGTTTGTGCTCCTCACATTGCACCCTTGAACTCTTGATAATATCCTCTCCCACCTACCTTATGTCTCAAAAACAAACCCACAAACAAAAGATCAAACAAAAGTAAAATTAAAAAGACATTTATTCTATATATATTTATTGGTCTCAATGACAAATGCAAATAGTAAGCAAAACTAATGCTCCCCTATCTCTTACGTCAAAAGAAATAAAACTTCTGTGCTATTGAGTTGGCAAAAAAAGTCTGCTGCATTTTTTCCATTTAATGGCTCTAGTAGTGCTCAGTTTTCTTTAACTTCATTCGAAATAATTTTGTAAGACTGTATTGTGACAGCTGTCATATCAGCATGCATTCAAAAAAACTTATCAAAATTGATTAATTTTTGTGCAGCCATTTTAAGATTGAAGATGGAATACTACACGCAACATTTTCAGCATATTGTGCTTTATTATTTCAAGAAAGGTAAAAATGCAACTGAAATGGAAAAAAAGACTTCTGCAGTGTTTGGAGAAGGTGCTGTGACTGATCAAACATATCAAAAGTGGTTTTTGGAGTTTCTTGGTACTATTTACATTTTGGCCAAATAATTCTTTGTCTTATGCACTGGAAGATGGTTAGCAGCACCCCTGGCCTCTACCCACTAGAAGCCAATAACAGGAGATAGCTAACATACTCAAAATATCCATATCAATATAGTTATTGGTGAAAATGAAAAGTGTGTCTTTTATTTTATGAAAAAAACATAACAGATTTTTTGGTCAACCCAATAATTTGAGAAGTGCAAGATTCTCCTCCCCCACCTCAAAAAAAGTGAATGAAAATGTTAACATGTAGTAAATGATGGCCTTAAAAACCTATAAATTGTACTTGCTGGTGTGGCTCAAGTGGATTGAGTGCTGGCCTGCAAACCAAATGGTCGCTGGTTCGATTCCCAGCTAGGGCACATGCCTGGATTACAGGCCACGTACCCAGAAGGGGGAGTGCAAGAGGCTACCATACACTGATGTTTCACTGCCTCTCTTTTCTCCCCTCCTTCCCTTCTCTCTAAAAATAACTAAAGTATTTTTTTAAAACCTATAAATTATTTTAAAAAGCACGTGTACAAAGTACTTTTGGGGGGAAATTTGAAAAATTATTTTTCAATGATTTCTATACATAAATTACTGAAACATTATTTTTAATGATTTCATATTTACTAACATCTCTACCTAACCTGTAATGTTATTCATTACTCAAAATGCACACCATACAAGATCAGCTTCCTTCTTTTTGTGGCCTTTTTAAGGCTCATTTTCCAGTGTTTTATTAGTGCAGTGATAAGTGAGCAAGAGTCTCAATACAGAAACGTATTCCCCCAAAAAACCTACACGCATACTACCAGGTAAACAAATATTACTACAATAATCAGGCATTTTCAGCTCATCAACTGAAAGGTCACATAGAATAAACATTAGGTTGGTTCAATCAAGTTACTATACTGATAAGTGCTCCAAAAATGGCCTAAGTAACTTGCTGATGCTGTGTGGCTTTGTCTAATCAAACATCAGCCTACTGAAACATAACTCATTCATACAGCATGGTGGAAGAACGGTAAAGCTTCAGGGTCAAATAATAACTAGGGCTTTAGAATTCTTAAATGGTATTCCCAAAGACTGACTTAACTCCTGTTTTGGAGAACTACTTTTCTCACAGAATGAACAAGTAAACCAATTTACAAATAAGCAAGACCTCTTCCTAACCACATTTAAATATCTCAAATTCTGTTTCCATGAGCTTAACTATAAGACAGTAAATATAAATCAGTTCTCCAGACCCAAAACATATAGGCTAAAAACAGAGTAGCTCTTCCAAAGGCTGAGGCCAAGAGCCCTCCAACTGAACAAACTAAAATTAGGTTTTTTTTCATCTCTGGTTCTTCAAAATGTACCTTCAACGTTCAGGGGGCACACAAACCTGTGTCCATATAATCTCCCAAACTAGCTGGTCAGAGGAAATCTATCAAAATCCTCAGGAACGTAAGCGCACTGTCCAAGAGACTACTGTAACGAAATTCCTGTTCATTCTGGCTAATAAGCAGACTAAAAAATACTCATAATAAAGACTCCTCCCTAGTTGTTTTCTTCAGTAAAACTACAACCCATCAACAAGGACCACCATACTCTTCCTCAAGAATCAGGAGCAAAAGCCCTATATAAAGCTGTTGGATGAGCAGGCAGGTAGAGCTCCACCTGGGATACCGAGCATCAGAGCCCGAAGGCGGAGGATGAAGTTACCGCGGAGGGTTGAGGCGCGGGCCGAGACTTAAAGGTAGCCCCACCCACGGAGGCACCTGTGAGCTACCGCAGGAGAAGGGCATCATCCCTTTAACTCCAAGTACTGCCCAGGCTGGCGCTCGATTTCGCCCTCTCAGACTCGCCCCGGCCCCATACCGGGTTCGAGCTTCACGACGCGGCACTGGTTCAACCTCGGGGCCGGAAACAGAAAAAGGCTGGGGCCAGGAACGGCGCCCGTGGGCGGAGGTGAGAGTCCACTTGAACCCCGCGCCCCCCTCCCCGTCAGGGCTGGGGCCGACCGAGCACAGCCGCGGCGTCTGCTCGGGCTCCAGGGCGCCGCGGCGACGAGAAGGTCACCAGCGGCAGGAGGCCGGACAAGGGACCGCGCTACCTTTGGCCTCGCAGTCGGCGCAGTACTTGTTGTCCTCCTCCCTCAGCAGCTTAGACAGGATGAGCTGGTGCTGCTCGTTCAGCTTCTGAGCCTTCTCCCGGCAGGAACGCGTCGCCATCTCGGCAGCGGGGCGAGGAGCCCGAGACAGCTAAGGCGGCGGGTGCGGGCAGGAGCCGGCTGGATAAACGCACCTGGAGCCGCCGGGACCTCGGGCTGACCCAGCCTCAGGAAGCGACGGCGGCAGCAGCTGGAACTGGTGGAGCGGCGGTGGAGGTGGTGGCAGCGCCGACGTGTCCCGCCTCCTCGCCGGGCCTGCCCAGCACGCCCCGAGAAGCCGGCGAGACGGGAGAGAGGGGGAAGGGCCAGGGCCGTGGCTTCCGGGTGGCACCGCAGGAAGGAACCCAGACGCCTGGCGCACTGCGCATGCGCTGAGACTCCCCGGAAGCCAGCCAGCCCACTGTTTTTGCTCAAAGCCCTTAGCCCAAGGTGATTCCAGAAAAGTACCTTGCGCTACCTGCTGTGGGCTTCCTTACTTTTGAAGTGGGACTGTCCTTGAGGGCCTGGGATAAAACCCGGTGAGGGAAGATCTTTTACTGAGAGGTGACTTTCACTTGCTTTCTTGACTGTGCCTTTTCTGGCACAGCATTGGAAGTACAGAAATAAAAGTGACTAGGTGGATTTGTTTATTCATTCGACGTTTATTCACCAGCATTTTTTAAACAGGCACCACCCTAGAAACTAGAGACATGTGTAGAATAAAGTAAAGCAGCCTCTTCTAGTGACATGCATTGAGTTCTAAACTTTATTAATTATTCTGTGCCCTGAATGATTACCTCATTTAAGCCTAATCACAACCCTGTAATATTATCCTCATTATACAGCTAGGAAAATGAAGCATGGAGTTTAGTAACTTGCCCAGATTACAGATCTACTCATTGGAGGAGTTGTGATTCAAATCCAAAGTAGTCTGACTGCAGAGTGTAAAACATCTGGCTGTAAGGCTTTCCTTATGGAGCAGAAAGTGTGCTCAAGTTGCCAAATACTGAGCAGTATCACTTTAACAAGAATGTGTATAAACAGTGAACTTGAATTCATGAAAAAGAAAACTAGGGAAAGAAGACACTTTTGATTAAGCCCCAGAGTGCCCCACTCCACTACCATGGGTTCTGAACCCTGAGTGAGGCAGTTTGAATGTTTTGGCATGTGTCTTTCTAGCAATTACTAACATAGGGTTTATGCAATTAGAATAAGCATGGCCTTTGCCTGTGGTGGAGCAGATGCTAATAAAGGCAAATGAGCAAGAACCTGTGTCTCATTCTTTTTATAGGGCCAATTTCTAGCCTAGGCCCTACATAAAGATGACCCTCCTGCTCACCTAGCCCTATTTTTGACAGTCTCAAAAATGTTTACGGAATTAAATTGAATTGTAGTGGCAGTGAACGTGCTGAGTAATTAAACTATGGCTTAAACTGCATCATTCTGACAAATAATAACTAGGTGGATACTGTTGTATTCAAGTTGCGAGCGAAAGGAATCCCTGAACACTGAGAACGGTGTGATGGTAAATTTATTGGCTAAGTTTTTACCTGCGCAGGGGCGAACTTCCCGAACGAGACTGTAGTCTCGCGGCTACGCAGAGCCGCCAAAGTGGAAGTCGCGCCTGGCTTACAGACTACTGGGTTTTTATAGGGGCAGGCAAGCAAGCAAGCAAGGGATATAGAAGTAGATATGGCGGTTAGCTATTGGCTCAATCAAACTAAGGCAAAAGCTCCTGATTGGACTGTTGTTGGCGGGCAGCTGGTGTTGGCGCCTAAAAATTTCTTGGCTTTATTTGGACAGGCCTCTATATGCTAGCTTTATTTGGACAGGCCTCTATATGCTAGTTTTATTTGGACAGGCTTTTATATTTTTTTTTTTATTAGTTAAATTTTTGACTTATGCTCTTTTTGAGGAAGGATTGTATAGGGCTGAGATAATATTATAAGTTTTATTGTTTTTATTTTATTTTTAATAAAAGTTATGAGTTTGTTTAGAATTATTGGGCCTATGGTCAGGGCTAATAGGAGGATGATTAAGGGACCGGCTAGAGCCGATATCAATGTATTTAGCCAAGGGGAAGTCTTAGATAGGGAAGAATACTAGGAGGACGACTTATTTTTTTGTTTTTTATTTTTAAGTCGTTTAGTGAGTATTTTTATATTTTTTTTAATTATTTTTGAGTGGTTGGTATAGAAATAATAATTTTTTTTGAGAGCTGTACATACTTTTTCTTGTTGCAGGAATATTAGATTTAACTTTTTTCGATTTTGGAGTGTTACTTCTGTTAGGGAGTCTATTTGGCGCTCTAAATATTTTACTTGCTCTTGGAGTAAGGAGACGTCTTTGGAGAAAGTCTGTGACAAGGCCTTGAGACTGTTTTTCTTATGGATTAATGTTCTTGCTCTTACAGCAGCTGACTCTACGACACCGATAGTGGCGACGATGGGAATTAGCAATGGGACTCGCTTGGCTCGAATGGGGGCTCGTATTAGAAAATTAGGATTTTTTCTATATAAGTATACTTGGGGAATGATGTAAGTACTAACACATAGCTCAGGGTTAGTTGGTACTAGACACTTGAAGATATTTTGAGTGCAGACAAATTACAGTCTTTCTGGAGCTAATGTAATAGTCAAATTCTTAGGGTCTCTCGGCAAATGCTCTTCGTTAAGGCAATAGTCACTATAGTTTGAGGCTGCAAGGGTATAGTTCGTTAGCAAATAACAGGTGCCTCGCTTATGGAATTCTGCTAATGTGAGGGTATTTTTAAATGTACACTGTTGGAAGTCTTTCATTTGGTCCTGGTCTGGGTTCTCGGGAAGGGGTTTTGTCTTAGGCACTTTTTCTTCTTTCTTGGTGGTGTTAATTTTTAAGCTTACATAAAATGGGGGTTTGGGGCTGAGACATAACCAGCATGACTCGGTTATGTTAGGCTGGGTATTGTTAAAATATGGAAACACTTGTTCTAACAGACTTAAGGCTGATTTTCCTTGGTGGTGTGGTTTTTCTATTAAGGGCTTAGGGTCTCTGAGGGGAAGCCTTAAGTTGTTCGCACCTTCGAATTGTGAATTTTCTATGGTCTTACTCTGGTTTTTGCTGGCCTCTATGGGTGTTTCAAGCGTTGAGGGGCCCTCGCCTTTTCCCGGACTGGTGGTGGGTTTGGGTGGGCGAGGTGGCAGCTTTCTCGTTCTCTTTTTTAATAATGGTCTCCCCTGATGTGGGCAGCCTTCTTACTGTAAAGAAGGTCCTCGGGTTTGTACCTCTGACATAGAGCTTGAGACCCCATGTGTGACCTTTTAGCCACCCTGAATCTCTTGGGTTTAAGACTATTATGATAGTAGGGTTATACCTGTTTGCTGCGCAGTCCGCATCCTATTTTTTACCTGGTTTTCTGCTTTTATTTCGGGTAAAAAGAATATGTTTGTCAGTTTTTTTTTCCAGTATTCAGTTATTATTTGTGAAGGTCTCACAGCTTTATGCCTTGCAGTAGTAATTTTTATGTGACTCACATGTGAGCTTTTTCTTTGAGGGGGGCTCTGGGCATTCATAATGAGGGGTGTGTCAAAGTGTCTTGTTTAAGGAGGCTGACAAGTTTTTATTATAAATTTTATTTGTCTTTGTACCACTCTCTAGTGGGGCTTGAGGACTTTTTGGTAATAATTTTATATTTTTTTTATTATAGAGTGTGTTATTAAAGAACTTTGAGAAGTCTGTACGTAGAGCTACTGGGCCTGTATCCCAAGTGTAATTGGTAGCAATGACTGTACCATCTGCTGTCTTTATGAGTACCCACTCCTGTTGTTCTAGGCCCTGACCTGGGGTTTTACCGAGGATCAGGAGCTCTATACACGTGAAAAGGCAAGCTTTATGGGGTTGTCTGGATCTGGTCGGACCCGCCATGTTCGTGATTCTTCCTCTGGTGGTTGGGCAGTCTTAATGTGGGACAAATGGATCTAGTAGGGTTTTTCCGCCACTCGTACAGCGGAGGGAGTGCTTAATAGTACTTGATATGGTCTCGTCTAGCGAGGTTTTAAATTTTCTTTCTGATGATTAAGGATCTATATTTATTGTCCAGGCTCTGGCTGTCTAGGCTTTTTTTTTTTTATTTTTTTAGATTCTCGGTGTTGGGCTTGTTGGAAGGCGCGCACTTTATTTCGGATCTCTTGTAGCGCCTGTAAGGACTTGAGGAAATTATAGTTAGACACTTCTATTTCTTTTGTGGATAACTTAGGGATTAAGGGTACTGGTTGTTCATACAATATTTTATAGGGCGTCTACCTTTTAATGTATGGGGTGTACTTTATCCGGAAGAGGGCGAAAGGGAGCAGTTTTATTCAATTTTCGCTGGTTTTTTTTTTATTTTTATTAAAGTTTTTTTTAGTGTTTTATTTATTTTTTTTATTTGTCTTGAATTTTGTGGCCTATAAATATAATGGAGTTTTTAATCGATATTTAATTTATTAGCTAATTCTTGTGAAATTTTGGAGACAAATGCTGGTCTATTATTAGACCTTATAGTTATTGGTATCTTATACTTGGGTATGATCTCTCTTACTAAGATTTTGCAGACCGTGGAAGCAGTCTCTCCCTTAGTGGGGAAGGCCTCCACCTACTCGGAGTAAGTATCTACTAGAACTAGCAGATACTTATATCTTGATTTTTTTTTAGGCATTTTGGTGAAGTCAATCTCCTATAGTTCTCCTGGGGTGCTCCCTCGGTGCCTCACGAAGCGGGGCAACTTCTGATTCTGGGCGTTTATTTTTGCGCAAGTCTTGCATCGAGAGGTGACGGAGTGTATTACCTCCCTCAGGTGTGGTCCCAGGTAATGCTTCTTAATTAACTGTTCTATTTTGTTCTGCCCTAAGTGGGTACTAGTATGAATGTCCTGGACAATTTTTGTTAGTACCCTTTGTGGTAAATATAACTTAGTATTTGGGAGTATTATTCATTTATTTTCGTTTTTTATCTCTCTTAGTTTTGCTCTTTCTTGTTCTTTTTCTGGGGAGTACGCGGGCTTTGGGGGCAGGTCCGGCTGAGGAACTAGGGGAAGTAAACTACTTTCTTGGTCCGTGGCGGCTTCTCTGGCGGCAGTATCGGCCAGGTTGTTTCCTCTTATGACTGGAGAATTCTTTTTCTGGTGGCTTTTACAATGAATAATGGCGACTTTCCTGGGCAACTATATGGCCTCTAGGAGGGAGAGGATCTCTTTTCGGTTTTTAATGTCCTTTCTTCTTGCAGTTAGGAGA